GTCAATAATATGAATATTAATTTTGGTATTTGGGAATGAGAATGAGAATGCTCAGGGACATGTTAAGGATGTGAGAGTCCCTATTCCTGCCTAAGTGGCTGTCATAGCTCCTTCAGAAATATTTCTTTTCTCCAGCAACTGTTTACTTTATATCACTCATACCATGGATGGTAGTAACAAAGGGACAAGCACTGTTTCAGCATCCTTCCTCATTCTTGCAATTGATTTCCTTAAATCTTGCTGTTAATAGAAAAACAGGTGCAAATAAACATTTATGTGGCAGGATCTGGGTATATAGAGGCAAATCTCCAAATCTAGTTGGTGCTGGGAATTTTGGCCTTAAGGCAGAATAGGGAGCTCCTGCTCACTCAGCCCCAGATCCCATTCCTAACAACCAAATTTTGCTGAAAAAGTGGCTTTGCCATTTAATTCTTATTACCAGTATTTTTATTGAAACATTTTAACAGTTTTAAAGATAATACAAAATATGTTTAAAAGAAACAAAAGAGATAGACAAAAGAAAAATAGAAGGGAAAAACAGAGGTGGAGAAAGATAAAAAGAAAAAAGAAAAGGTATTTGAAGCAGTGACGTTTGATTTTCTTTCCAACAGTTACAAACTAATGTATTCCTCCCACTTTGAAATTAAATTACAGTACATAGATTATTTCTTCCCATACCCAACCATTTTCAAGTTGTAAAACTACTTATTATCTATCCCTGATCAAACAGCCGGTTTTATTTTCTTTTATATAGTGTTCTAGCTTTCTTAATCCTTAATTTGACATTAAGATGTTATTGTAGGACCTGATAACCATTCCTCCCGTTCTAACTTTTTAAAGGCTTCATTGTGCTCTTCTTTCTGTTTTCACCAAGTGAAAACCTTTGGTCTCAAACATGACTTTTTATCTTGTAAGTCCAGTAATAGTCTGTTATCTACATTTTTTTGGGTTCTTACTTAATATTTGTATTTTATCCCTGTAATTTCTGTTTTGTTTTCCAAAACTGCCACCTTCACTTCACCTTTCCAGATTATTCAATTTTATTTTTCATCTCTTCTTTCATGGTCTCTTTTAAATGTTGCATTCACATAAGCAGTTACTGATGCTGTTATTGTAGCTGTTAACGTTCTTTCCCACTTCCTCAAAGATTCTTTTGAATATCTCAAGTAATCCTTTTTCTGTCATTTCTAAAAGTTTTACTACTTTTCTAGTAATAGCCATTTCAATAGACAAAGAGGAGGACCCTTGCTTTCTCTGGATCATTAAGTCTTTAGTTCCATTCAACATTCTCAGATGGCCTTTAGCAACTTTCCTTTATCTTTTGTTTTGCAGAGCTAACCAATTATTTCAAATTAATCCGTACAAAACTCTCCCATGGAAATATAGATTAATTATTTAATTGTTTCAAAAATTCTTTAAAATCAATAATTTTAAATTCATCCATCTCTTTAGTTCATTTTAAACTTTCTTTATTTAAACCTTTGGCAACTTTTTGCCCTTAATTATTTTTAAATCCTTTAAATTGGTTCATTCTTAATCTGGGGTGAAGGATCACTCACTGGGTGGCTTGATTGCACTGCTCATCTGAAGATCTCTTTAACTTTAAGATAATTGTCTTCCAAATTTATTTAAGAACGTGGGAAGGGGGGGGGGGGTTGCCTGTGAAGCCAATGTCTTTATGCAGGCTGGGAGCTTGTGGCTGTGAGCTTGCTATCTCTTCCATGGCTGCTGCTGTTGCTCAGACTCATAGAAGGCCTACAAAATCTCTTTAGATCATATGGGTCTTCTTATGAGGAGCATATCTTTGGAGCAAAGTGGGCAATCTTCTTGTCTTTCCTTGTCCAGAGAAGCACCATTGGCCTTCTTTGCCATATTGTCTCTGCTGTTTGCAGAGGCACAGAGTCCACCATTTCCCCCCTACCCAGAAAGCTGTTTTGCCATTTCATTGTATAGAGAATCTCTTTCTTCAGCTCACAGCCACCAAAAAACAGAGAAATTGGCCTCTGATTAACCTACAGCATTGCACAATACCAAACATGAATAAACTTTAGTTGTGGAGCTCACATTTTAGACAATGGAGGATGAATATAAGACTCTGTTATATCATTTTTGTTGTTCTTACTACTACTACTACTTACTACTACTACTACTAATAATAATAATAATAATTTGTACATTCTTCTCATTCTTAGGCAGCCTGGGATATTATTTTGCTTTTCTGTCTTACAACATGCCAGTAGAGATATACCTGCATCAGAACAACTCTGTTCTAATCACAAACACAAAAGAGCAGATTGTTAATGCTTACGGGTGGCTGGCTGTAGGACCTTGGCAAAACCCATCAGAAAAACACAGAAGGGCTATGCCTCTAACTAATATGTCTCACTCCTTGGAAGATTCTTGATTTAGTTTCGAGCAAGGCAAAGCATTACTGTACAGAATTTCAGTGAAAACTTTTGTATTGCAGGGAAGCTGTACCTCTACATTTGGGGGGTTCTTAATCACATTTTTTTACTCTTTCAAGTGTCGAGTTTATTTGAGATTAATCTTCTGCTTTGTATATCATTCAAAGGCACAGAAGCCCAATTACATGAATAGCAGCAACCTTCTTCATCTCACTGCTTTTAGAGCTCACTGATGTTCAGTGGAAATTCACAAACTTCAGTGTATACATACACTGAATCCTATAAAGATTGCAGCTTTAGAATCAAAAGTTTGAGCCAGACTGAGCCTCCCTGTGTATATTATATCTCTACAATTAGAGGCCTACAGCTCCCTTTCAGGCCACTTCCATGCTAGCTGGAAGATGTAAGATGTACTGTATCCTGAGGAGATTGCAAAGGCCTTGACAGCTGGGTTAATGCATTATTTATTTGATGTATGAATGGTGTCAGTGAATATTGGAACACAATTTAGTAGCATCGGACAAACACAATAACTGGAAAAGAGTAACGAAACTGGTTTCAGAAAACTGAAAAGTAGGACAAACAGCACAATAGGAATAGTGCAGAGAGTGCATTGTTGTCATTCTAGTGAGCCAGGGAAAAATAAGCACCAGGTTAGACTGGTTCTTGGGCCTGTGATGGGAATAGCCATCATTTCTTATTTGTATGGTTTATTTGACTATTAACAAGAGTGTTGCTAGTTGCACAGTAGTCTGTATCCTTCATCTGCAGAAAATCCTGGGATGTGTATCACTGGAACCAGATCATGGCTTTTGTCTTGTTATTGTATTCTGATGTGCACATGTAATGCTCTCATATTGGACAGACCCATGAGTATTGTACTATATATTGCACATGGACTGGATAATGTTGAGGTCATTATCAACATGGAGCATGTGGTAGTAAGTGGTTGGAAGTGACAATCCCATGAAGACTGGGAGGATAGATGTTATGCTATCTTTAAAGTGGTATTCTCTTGCTGTTTTCTTTGCTTGTGTGTGAGAGAGAGTGTGTGTGTGTGTGCATAGGATCCCCAGCTATCTGACCCAAACATTACACTGGTGTGAATGGCTATCTGAATCAATCAAACACAAAAAATTGAGGCAATGAATAGCATGCACAATATCCATTCTCTGGATATATGATGTAGGCAGATGGTCTAGAAAAAACAGCTATGCTTGGCAAAGCTGAGAGAAGTAGAAGAATGTAAAGAGCAGGAATAACACAGATGGATGAGATCAAGGAGATTATAGAATGTAATTGCTGCTGATTGTTACTAGGGATGGGAAGCATTTCTCCATACAAATGAAACTGTTTGGCTCCTATCTAATTAGCAAACTATCATTGCTAACAGAATCACAGAAATTAACAGCTCTGTTAATTTTGTACAGATGCTAATGTATCTGCGTATGTATTGGAAAAGAGTGGAAAGCATAAAAAAATAAAACAAATTAAAAAAATAAGATTCTTTTTTCTCTCCCCCCCTCCCTGCACACCAGCAACCTCAATCAAATTCTGAAAATTACATCAAAGTACCTCTGAAAAGCTTGGCTGGCTGACACAGAATATCACCACCTGACCAGGATATAAATAAGCTACCTTCTCCTTTAGAAAGATCAAAATACTGCAGGCAACGGTATTCCTTGTGACACTCTATTGAAGTGAAAGTTTGAAGAAGCAGCATAGAAAGAATATTGACACTTTTGAATTTTAGTGTTGGAGAAGACTCCTGGGAATAGTATAGACAGCCAAGGAAACAAACAAGGGGATCATTGAACAAATCAACTTAGAGTTCTCACTCAGTGTACAAATGACCAGGCTCCAATTATCCAACTTCAAACACGTGAGAAGACCTGTCTCTATGGAGAAGGTTTTTAATGCTGGCAAAGATGGAAGGAAAGGGAAGAGACAAGCAATAACAAGGTGAATGGACCCTATTACAGTGGCAATGGAGAAAATCTCTCAGTCTGGTTGCTAAGAGTCAACATTGAGCCACGGTGGCGCAGTGGTTAGAATGCAGTATTGCAGGTTAAATCTATCCACAGCCAGGAGTTCGATCCTGACTGGCTCAAGGTTGACTCAGCCTTCCATCCTTCTGAAGTCTGTCAAACGAGGAAGCCAGATTGTTGGGGGCAATAGGCTGACTCTGTAAACCACTTAGAGAGGGCTGTAAAGCAGTGTGAAGTGATATGTAAGTCTAAGTGCTATTGCTACTGATTTGATAGAACATTATCAACCGATCAATGCTTATTTAGAGATTTACTATAAAGAAAAGAAAATATTGCTTGTATTGAGCAAATAGCAAAAGTACAATGATAAAGTACTCCTTTGGAGGAGCTGTTTACAATGGATGATGCTTCTTCATCTTGGCGCCATCCCTTCATTAAGTAACAATAATTTACATAAATGAACACATAAATTAGCTGTTTTGTTAATACCAAAAGCAATATTGCCTGAAGAAGATACATTAATCTGGCTACACTGTTTATTCCTGCTGCCTGACATTTAAATTATATGAGCAATTTGTTCTTTTTAAACCAAATGTTTTGTCCTTACCTTCTTCACCTGTAGCTAGTTCAAATTTCCTGGGATTATCTGTAGTTTGAACAGATCTCAAGAGTGATGGACAGATAATTTCTCCATTAGGACCGGTTAGAAGGATATTGAGTGAAGTGCTTTTATGGCTTTCTTGAAAATAAGAAGAAAGGGGTTGAGAGAAAGAGGAATAATATTTTATCAACCGAAATAAATTCTCTGAACTAAGAAAAAACCTCAGATTTAATCAGTATTAGAAATGGCAATTTTTAAAATTCCAAATATTTCTCTAGAGCTTACTGTTTCTTCTAAACAGACCCTTACAGGTAGTCCTTGACTTACAAGCACAATTGCTAGCAAGGCAGTTAAATGAGTTGCACCCAATTTTTTGCCATATTTTTTTTGCCACAGTTCACTGCAGTTGTGAAATGAATCATGCAGTTATTAAGCGAATCCACCTTCCCCTGTTGACTTTGTTTGTCTCAAGCTGCCTGGGAAGGTTGCAGATGACGATCACATGACCCTGGCATATCATAAATACATGCCAGTGGACAAGCACCTAAATTTTGATCATGTGACTGTGTGGATCCTGTGATGGTCATGTGTGTGAGGACTGGTTATAAGTCATTTTTTTAGTGTTGTTGTAACTTCAAATGGTCACTAAACGAATGATTATAAGTTGAGGACTACCCGTATCTTAGTGATTATATTCATGACTATCTACAGTCTTCATATCTGTAAATTTCTGAGTTTGACATATAATTTAAGAAAACGCAGCTGTTTATAATCTTTAGAAAATGGAACCATTGAAGAAAAACTGAGCAATTCTAATTAATGGCCATTTAAGCTCATGCTATTGTTAACTAAATTTATCTGACCTATTTGTTTTGTGTTGTCAGTTCCAGTGGACACTTCTCTCTTTCTTCTCTTTCCATCATTCAGAGCAAACTTGTCTGGATTAATCAGGGGTAGATAGAAAGAATCTTGGGAAGCCCTTAGGAGCCCGTCCTTGATAGTTTGCTTCGGCTTCTTTCTATGTTTGGTGTCTAAAACGAGATCATTTAGCAAAAGGACTGACTGCTTATCACAGACATCGGTCTCAGATTTGACTTCTTTAGAACAAGTCCCTGCAAAATAAGAGAACATATCATAGCAGTTGTTGATCTACAATCAAAATATGAACATACCCAAATTAAAAACAATACATACATGTTACGTGGTATATGTGTTATATGTATAATCACATATAATGCAATTATCTGTATGTCTGCTCAGAAATAAAACCCACTGAAGTCAGGGAAATATATATATAACTATGGCCTTAATATTTACATTGCAGAAAGTATGGAAACTTTAGATTTACATAATGCTGACAGTGAAAAATGCAATGCACTTTGTAATAGGTACCACTAGATTTTAGCTCATTTCTACAGTTGTTTGGCATTATTGTAGTAATGCATAAGCTAAGCTGAAAGGAGGCCTAAAACTAAACTTGTAGTAAAATGGCAGACGCCATCCTAAATAACTGTGAAATTGATATTTATCCCCAAAGAAATGTGCAAATCCTCAAACAAAAGTGTAAAACTAGTGTAACAGTACACCATACATATCTCTGAGCTAGCAAGGTTAATTTAGATAAGAGAACTTGGCTTGAAGACTGTGGAGTAAAGCTGGACTTTAGCTGTGTTTGAAAATATGCTGGCCCAAACAGATATGAGTTTACATATATTGTGTGTCTGTAAAATTAAGAGAAAGGGAATGTAATAAATCTGGACAAAAGTAAACTGATATTGTCGAACTGAGTTGATAAGCGCAAGCAGCGAAGTAAAGATTCAGGTTTAACTATGAATGAAGGATTGAAACTGTATATTAGAAGCTATGAACGGGAGGTTATAGGTTGTTGTAGATACACACTTTCCTATATACCTTTGATGTATGAGAACAGGAATTCATGTGTTGTGGTAGTTCCATTTTATAATTCAATGAATTATGATAATGAAAAAATCTGGGATAATTTTGGGGACTTATAAGATTCTGAGTAAATGTACAGTAATTTAATGGAAGAAATGGTTACGTCATGAATATCTATGCTCATGAGACCACTCTGATGGCTAAAAGTGAGGGAAATTTTAAAAACTCTCTCACTAAAGAGCCTGGTCTGCTGCTCAATAGTGAAGAAAAAACAAGCTAGTTAAGATTATGTCAACAGGCAATGCCAATCCAGAAAAACAAGGACATTCTTGGGAAGGGAGATAAAGATGGTCAGATTGTTTTCTTTAAGCTGCCTGAAAGAGAGAGCAAGTAGTGATGAAGATCCACAAAATAAAAATAGAGAGACCCAAAAGACAAAGCTAGAGAAAGAAGATTTGGAGCTTGGCAAGTGTTGTGCTGGTGGGAGCAGCACTCTTTGAAATTTGCTGGCTGCCTTTGATGTGTACATCATGTTTCAACCGAGAAGGGAACAGCCACCCAAACCAAGCCTATCTAGAGCAAGGTATTTTAAGCAGCCATCGAGTTTATCATACCCATCCTGGAAGTTTGGTTTTGCTGACTCCCTAACCCACAATGAGCAAGTCCCCTTCATTCCAAGGGTGTGGCTGTACCTCTTGGATGTTTCGCTTTAGTTGGAGACTCTGACTGAACCAGCAGTGGAAGGATCACAAGTTCCTTTGAAAGCTCACTGGGTTTTATTTTTTCCCTTTGAACGTTGGGTGAGCTTTCAGCTATTTGAGGTAACTTGAAAAATTCTGGCACCTGGAGAAAAACAGAGCTTCAAGGTACTTTTTAATACAGCAAATGCCACAGATCTTTGACAGTTTTTGCACAACAAATTGTTCCAAATGACAGAAAATACATCAAAATTATATGCCTAAAAATGCATACTTGCCCTGCTATGGACAGATTTTATAAAGGGGGGGGGATATGTGTGTCATTGTTTCCCAACTTGATCCGTCTTGATGCTGGACATTGCTCCATAGTACAACTAGCATGGCCTGGGGATAAGAAAAATTGAAGCCCAATTCCCTTGGAGGGTACCCAGTGGGGAAGGCTGTGTTAAGCTTTTTTCCGTGCTACTTAAGAGAATTTCTGTTATATATACAACATGAAAAAAACTATTTGGGAAGCAGTGCAATAAACCATTAAACAGGCTAAATTCCCTTTGATTTTAATGAGACACACAGCCTGTTCACTGGAGTTCCCGCCAATTAAAATTGAATTGCAGCCTCAGGGACACTGAATTACACCATATTATACCCCAGAGTACAGTTTCCCCTTATTGGGATATACTTTGGGAATGATTAATTATTGGTCGCACTATTGCATTTCAGTCGACTTGTGATACAACAATGTTACAATAGGGGGCCATGCAGAATGCTGAAGACTAGATCACTAATCAGATTTATTATATTGGTAGCCTCTCCTCCACTCCTAGACTTATTAATTCATTGGTTTAATATGTTCTTAACTCTAGAACCATTGCCTCCTGATCTTTTTTCATGCAGGAGATTGATAGAGGCATATTCAAAATCTCCCATGCAAACCAGTCTTGCCTCAAACCTCTGACCTCAGCAAAATGGAGCACCTTGTAATCCCCAAGTTATTCCATATATATTCCAACTATATATTCCATATAGTTTTCCCAGGATTAATCCTTTTTTAAAGCTAGAGAATTCTAAGTATTTGAACTATTTTTATAATTCTTAGGCAAAGCCATTCAGAGTCATTCTTCACCCCCCAAAACAGTAGCATTTAGCAGATGGGCAAAAGAACTGACCTGCTTCTTGTGCTTCTTTGTGATTTCGTCTTGCTCTTTGCTGCCTCCTGGATTAATCAGGGGGAACACTTCCTTATCTTCAGAGAGTCCTCTGCCTCTGCTAGCTGTGCTCTTCAGGTGATTTTGGTTAACTATGAAACAAACAGAAAAACAGAGATCCAAAATTATCTTCCTTCTCTCTAGCCATGGTTAATTCTCATCAAAATCTATGAAGGAAACTGTTATAGCTGAACTGAAGATTGAATCAGTGGTCACTCTGTAACGGAATTATAGATATTACATTGGAAATGGAGCCCACATGACAGAATGCTCCTTTATAATTTTACAGGCAAAAAACTAGTATAATCTTTTCCTTGATATACTCTGCCCCCCTTTTGGGGAAATGGGGGTATAAAACTCTCAGGTGGATACTACTTACAAATTATTATGTTCGATACAAATTATTATGTTCCAGTTGACCATTTCAGCAAGGATCAAGCCATTTCTTTGTAAGGAAGCTCTCAGATTACACAAGGCAGCTATGTTGGGCAATGTAATATCTGAAATAGTTATATATTACTGTAGAATATCCTTTCCAACCAAACATTATGCCAGCTGGCAAAAACCAGTTTCCAATTCTTTGTATTTGTTGCAGTATTTGCTTCTGATATAAAAGAGGCTCTTTACCAGAAAGCAAGTATAATATAGCAGAGTATAGCCCCATGGTGATATTTATTGGTTTTTGTACTTAATTCAAAAAATTCCAGCAGAGGGAGGTATAATGATTGTGTTTGTATACCATGCTAACTCTGTTACCTGGCTGCGCTTTACTCAATTAGCTCAATGTTCTCAATTCACGTAATACTATGAACCTTTATTTGTTTGCTCATTAAATAGTTCTTCTTTCTTCCAGTACAAATCTAGGTCTTCCTGGTTCTAGTCCAATTTCTGGACGACTGCATTATGCAGACTCAATATTTACCAGACAGTAACTACAATGTAGTTGGCATTTCACTTTGTGGTTCAATGTGTCATGTACACAAATATACAAATATAACCACCCTGCAACATCATTAATTCCTGCATTTATTCCTACATTCTGGAATACTGAATACCTTTATTTGAATGGCAGAAACACAAGTGGCATTAATGGTTCTCAACTACCACCGCCTTTAAAAATAAATATATAGCTGGTGGCTTTTAATTTGGCTCGTAAATTTGCAGTATCTTCTTACCACTATATGTGATCTTTTTTCCAGGAAGAAAACCACCATAGAAATTCACATGGGACTGCTCACACCAAAATTCAGAGGTGGCAATTCCTGTATTTCCCATTAATGAAAATTTAACTGATTGGTTTGGCATTTCACAGTTATGTGGCTCCTTCTTGTTCTTTTCACCTTGGTGATATTCTACCCCTCTGTTCTAAAAGAAGATAAACAAGAACACTTGAAAGACTGCATTTAAAAACAAGCTAAGAGGAAAAAAACAATGATTCTATTCGGAAGAAAACAAAGAGTCCTCTTGCACCAGCAATTTATAAAATCATCTAACCACCACTATGGGAAGACAAAGCTGCAATGATATACAGTAGCACACAACAATGGCTGAATGCACTATAAATTGCTAGCCTGTCCAGATGAAAAACATTTCTGTCCTTTCCCTTTGTTCTCACAATGGTCAACCTGATGCCAACAAAAAGCTCACAACACAAAGCATTCTGTTGGTTGTGTTGCTCTGCAACTATTATTGAGAGGAATACTATCTCTAATACTGCTAAGATAATGAAGCAGTCATTAAGTAGCAGTAGCCTCAATTTCCATTAAGCAGCCATTGACATATCCTCCACAGATCTGTCTAATTCCCTTTGAAAACTCTCATGTTGCTGGCTAATATTGTGTAAAGCAAAACTTCCTTTTATCTATCTGACTTCAAATTCATTAAATGAACCTCAGCATTTCTATTTGATGCCAGCAGAGTACAATTCACCAGCTAAATAAAGCTCTCTCTATAGTAACATTCTAATAACCTCTGTATATCCTTCCCTGCAAACTGCTAAATGTAAACAGCCTGGTAACTTGTAAAGCTATTGCACTGTATATAGTCATTCAGGTGCAAATGTCCCAGTAAGGATTTGAACCTCACAGAATAACATCTGGCCACCCACATCCCATGATTCCTAATATAGGTGAAACCTGTAATGTCCTGCCTCCTAGTGGCCAAAAGAGATAAAACGAACTAAAGGGACCCTCATTTGGAGTAGTTTACTTCATTTTCCAAATTGCCACATTAAAATAAAATGCTTGCTTTTATTTCAAAAGAATGCAATATCAGGAGAAAAAGAAAACAAAAGGACAAAGGAAATTTAGGGGTTATACTATTCTCATTACTTCAGCACTAATTATAGTTTAAAGATTTTCTTTGATTTATATGGGGAGGTGCCCTGACTTACCCATATATTTGAAAGCTTCCTACTCCTGAACATTCCTACTTGGGTAGGTCTCACTTTTATAATTTACTTACAAGCATATTATGTCTATGTATGAAACACACACACACACACACACACACAAACACACACACACACACACACAGAGAGAGAGAGAGAGAGAGAGAGAGAGAGAGAGAGAGAGAGAGAGAGAGAGAGAGAGAGATTCCTGTGGGAGATCATTTTGGTATCCCACTATGTGTATGCCGGGGACCTAAGTATGAGGTCCCATTTTATTTTGAATCTCCCTATTTTTTCCCTAGCATGGAGATATTACTACACACTAAAAAAAAGGGGAGACATATGGTGGCCAACATCTTATAAAAACTGAGGAGGAGGAGGGGGAAAGCAAATAAGAGTTTGCTACCAAGCAAGTGCCAATGATAAAAATAACTATAACACAGTAGTAGTAGTAATAGTAGTAAAATCATTGCAACTCCTATAATACTCTTTGTGATTGCAGTAAATTGTATGTAAAACATAATATAACCTTAAAACAAAGGCAGGAGGGGGGGGGCTGCAATTCATCTCCAACTTCCATATGTTCCCTCTCTCCCATCCCACTACATTATCCGACCCTCACTTGTTCTAGGACAGTGGTTCTCAACCTGTGGGTCGGGACCCCATTTGGGGTCGAACGACCATTTCACGGGGGTCACCAAACAAGGCTGTCAGCCATTTTTTCCCCCTTTTGTTTGGCCATGCCCCTGGCACCCGGTGATGTATAAGTGGTTGGGGGTCACCACAACATGGGGAAATATGGGGTCGCGGCATTAGAAAGGTTGAGAACCACTGTTCTAGGACATACTCCTTTCCAGGAAGCTATTAGACAGAAGACTAAGTAGAGGAGCTTTTTAACTGTTGCCCCTGTTCTTTGAAACAGCATCCATCCTTTTTAAAGCCCCACTAAAGTGGGCCTTAGAAAAGCCACAACTATCTCTTTTCCAGCAGGCCTTGGGGACAGGCGGGTCATGAGGCTTTCCTGCTGAGGTTTGGTGCTCTACATTTTGAACTGAGTCTGTTTATTGTCCCTGGCAAGAAAATGTGACTTAACAGTTATTCAAACTTGATGAAAAAAAAAAGTTTATTTTATGGAATAGCAGATGTAAGCCACTCAGACCCAGTGACAAGAGAAACAGCGTATCAGGTCAGCAAATACATACATCATCACATATGTCCTCTGAAGCATTCAAGCCATCCTTGCATCTCTGCCAGATGATTCAGCCTTTTGTTTATTTTATTGATGGGAGCAGGACATCATTAAGCAGCTGGGAGCTAAAGAAACTATTTGATGGGGAAAGAAAGTGTAATACCTCAGAGATCTGCCAGTGTGCCTCATTCTGATTCCAGATACTTTCTCTGGAATGCTGTGGTTGAAGATGAACACTCAGTTTTCTTACTGAAATTCTTAAAGGGATTCGATCTGCTCCTCTTGCATTATGTTCTGGGTCACCCTTCACCAGGCTGGCTCTATTTTCTGACTTTTTACGCAAAGGAGGACCAAGACCTAAGAAGTAGGGAACACCACAGCCCTGAAATAAATGACCAAAGTGGCTGTATTGTACATCAAGGAACAATTATAATTCAGCCTAATCTTTTCTGTGCTATTCATAAATGCCTCTAAACATGTTCAGGAGGCCACTCCTAACTAGGACGGGCAGCTTTCACAAATCAGGTTTACCAAAGGACCATCCCATTCATTTGCTTTAGAAAGTTTAAACTTGATGTTTTCCTAAAAACAGCACTGTTCTAGCTATGACAGCTAGAGGTATTCAACTGAATTAGAAAATATTGAAGACTTTTCTTTTTTACGAGTATTATGACATGACATGACAATATGATATATAATATATATGATATATATTGGAAGATGTTCTCAGTGTATCTTAATGAAATGAAGGAGAATAATGCATCAACATTTTTTTTTAAGGGAATGTATATACTGCCTCAATCTCATTAGACTCTTAGCAATGTAGAAGTTACATGTAAGTTGGGTAGTTAAATGATGCATCAGATCTGATCATCTCTATCAGTCACTGGTAAATGGTCTATAACTCTTAATAAAGCCATCACCCGAGGGTTTAACAGTTTGGCAGGCTTATTATAGAGAATGGGATACAGTACTCCAGGATCCTGTTTAAAAACTCCTTTGAACTTTGCGGATTGGCGGGGGGGAGAGGGAATGGTTCCATGTGAGTGGCCTGCAAGTGCACCCATGCGCACAGAGCTCCATTTGCACAATCAGTGGGCACGTGTGCCACTACTGGTGCAAATGGAGAGCGCTTGCCCATGCTTGCCCACTGCTCACACAAGTGGGGTTGTGTGCACGCACACTCGCCGCTGCTTCTGCACTCCAGTTCCAAATGGCTCACAGCCCAGTAATAGTCTGCAGCCCAGGAACTGCCTTAGAGAGTTAAAGTTAATATTCCAACCTTGAACTGTACTTGGAAACAGACTTGCAGGCAGATGGGGAAAAAGAGGTCATATATCCCCAGAATTTTGTTTTTCTATCTTCTATTTGAAGTTTGAAAACCAATATCAATCAGGATGCAGTAATTCCAATCTCATGAATGTAAAAACATGGCTAAACCAGGAGCAGATATAGCACATACTTCAAACCATTCCTGGCAACAAACCTGGAGGCATCTGCAGAGCGTCAAAGAGCAAGCAAATGATTTTCATTTACTTCCATCAGTCATTGTGGTGTAAGCATATAATTATGGCTTTTGTGTGATGATATCATGCATGTTGCCCCTTTGACATCATCCTAAATTGTTTTGGATGTCTTTACAAAAGTTAAAATCCAATTAATAATTAATTCTGTTAGAAATATAAGTATCTGTACTGTACCTGAATAACTCAGTTCTTTTAGTTGACTTTGTGAGTACAAGGATGGAGTGTAGAAAATATGTAGATTATACTTTGGTGGAATAGTTGATAGATCCTGTAATTTCTTCTTGAGAGCAGCTGCATTTTCCTTAAACAACAAGGGGTCACTGATATATCCTGAAAAATATGCAGCATACACCTGCTGTTGGGTAAAATAACTCAACATTGTTCTGTCTATTGAGTATTGTCTACAGTACATCAACTGGGAACAGAAAGGTATTGAAACGGAAAGGTATTGCTCACAAAGCATACGTTTCAATGATTTAAACAGAGGATGGGCATAGCAGACGAGGAAAGACCCAAATATTTTCTCTGTACAAATTAATATTGAGCACAATTTCTCATCCAGGAATGTAGCAATTTGGGCCTAATCTACTCTCAAGTAGGGTGCTATTTTCTTCCATTTATCTGAACCAATTCTGTAATAAAGGCCAAGGCTAATCTGAAAATATACTTTCTACCATTTTATTTTCTGTCTCATCAGATTAGGTTAGAAATACTATCTTAATAATTTGGGCTCGTTTTCTTATAATACTAACCTGCATTCTGAAGCTTTTGTAAAACATTTGGATCCCAGCTCTGGGCGAGTTTGAGGAGGTACCTCTTGGCTGAATAGCCTGGCCTCATCGATCTGTCCATCTCACTGTCTGAATCTCTTAGGAAGTATAGATAGGGCTGCTGAGCAATTCCTTTCTTATCTTGCCACAGCTTTAATATGAAAACAAAATGTCAAAACCTTAAAATGGATGCCTCTACATAAAACTGAGCAACAATAGATTTTATTCAGTTTTTCCCCAACGTTACCAGTTCGCTGAGTTAGAGAGGAAACAATGTGGTAGTTCAGATAGACAGATAAAGGAGAGAGCCTCATTATGGGTTGGCCTGGGGATGTCTGAGTGTTCTCAAATGCCAAAGCTTTTTATGATTTCAGTTTAATTGCTAATGTTTATTTTGTTGCATTGGTTCTTATTTTTAACCTTCTTACTGAACAAAAAACCTAGTATAACAGTATAACATGAGCAGAGGTGGCGCAGCAGTTAGAGTGCAGTACTGCAGGCCACTTTAGCTGACTGTGTTCAGCAGGTCAGCGGTTCAAATCTCACTGGCTCAAGGTTGACTCAGCCTTCCATCCTTCCGAGGTAGGTAAAATGAGGACCCAGATTGTTGGGGCAATGTAAATATATACCGTATATACATTGCTTACTGGTGTACATCGCTTAGAGAGTGCTTGCACTTAAAGCGGTATATAAGTCTCATAAATAAATAAATAAATAAATAAATAAATAAACATATATATCTCTGAGCTTGCAAGATTAATCTAGATAAGAGAACTTGGCTTGAAGACTGTGCACCTTCTTGGAGTAAATCTGGACTTTAGCTGTGTTTGAAATATGCTGGCCCAAATAGATATGAGTTTACATATATTGTGTATCTGTAATGTTAAGAGAAAGGGAATGTAATAGATCTGTTTATTTTGTTGCACTAATGTTTATTTTGTTGCACTGGTTCTTATTTTTACTGAAAAAAAAGTAAGCGTTCAGAGTTCTTTCAGAACGGAACATCATATCAATCCTACTAAATAAATAGATAACGGAAAACTACAAAGAGCCAAGTTAGTATGAAGGTAGCTATACTGCATATTGTAGAAAGCAGTCTGGCATCAGCACATGCTAAAAAAATAGTTTTGAATTTTCAGTGTATTTTGAACTGGAAAAAAACAACTCTGAATGTTGCCTTTTGGCTAATAGCTGTGAAACTGGTCTTGAAAGGTTTGTTATTTTTAATATAACAAAGCAAGAATAGATACAGATATATACCTACTCTATCTATAAACTACTGCCCAAATATTGATTGTACTATTGCAAAGGTGATGGCTAAGAAACTGTTTGAACCATGTATTACTGGTCTCACCCCAATTCTGGAACATAAACATCTTTTAGCTTGCAAGTAGTTGAGGATGGAGATGAATTTTAATGATGACAGGATGCATGGAGAGAGTGCTCATTTTCACTTTTTCACTTACATGGGCATAGTGTTTTGTTAAGGGACATGCCGGATTTCACGTATAGTGGAAAAATAATCAGTGGTCAAAGGAGGATAAATAATCCATTTAACCAAAACACCTTCTTTTGTACTGCATTCACCAAAATGAAGCATTCTAACTTGTTTATTTTAATCATCCTCATGTTTATATAGTTGTTTAATTTTAAGGGTAATCTAGTTTTGGTACTGCAGCACTATGTGATGCTTGCAGAAATAGTTAAGCAATTATAAAATACAGGAAGATACGCAAAATACTTTAGTCTTTCAAATTTATTTAATTTGAAATGAAATCTGCGCCATTGTAAAACCAAGAAGAACAACTTAATGTTCCATCCAGAAAAATGCTCTTTTGCTCTCTCTCTTGAGAGAAGGGACTCCCATAGAAATACCCTCTAGTAAGTTGGGCAGCCAATAAATTTAATAAATAAATAATAAATAAGTAAGTCAGGCTTTCAGGAAAATCCAGGTCCATTTGGGGATTTTGTAAATTTGCCTGTAGGGGTCTCTGCACGCATATCTCACTGTCCTAATTGTCCAGCAGCAGTTGAATAAATTCCTGCTGGACTTCCAGAGAAATTTACAAATGTATGTAGCAGGCAACCCCCCCCCCCTTTTGTTTTCTGTAGTGTGACAGGCTTGCAAAGCTGAGTAATCAGGTGTATTTGTGAAAGTGAATGACTGTTTTCCTTGGAGGATTGGCAGGGAATCCTCATAATGGTAAAGAGGAAATGCGAGTTGTGATAGTGGGAAATAGCCTCTCATATCTGGGACGTAAATATTCAGAAGAACACAAGAGTTAGAACTTTACTTTGCTCTCCTCTGCCTCTGGAGGGTATGTGGACTTTCAGCCCAGCTATAGTAGACTTATATAATAGACTATTTACATTGCCTAAAGTAGCATTTATAGACAATCTTCTTTAATTTTTGAAGCAATGCTGAGAGAAGGAGAAAATATTTTTATGACTCACAAGCATTTTATTTATTTATCAAATTTCCACACCACCCATCTCTAGTGACTAAAGTGACTTTAAGTTGAATGGAAATAAAACAATGTCAGCTGCTGGGTAAAATGACCTTCCTACTGATAGGCCCTCCTAATCTTTTCTTTTCTTAGGAAGTGCTTATTTCATAGGGCATTAGTGAGCTTCTCCCTGCAACTTCTTAATTCATTTATTTTTTCAACTCCTGAAAGGAGCACCAGGTTTCCTTTCTGGCAGCCAACACTTTATTTCCACCCCACCCCCAATGTGCCATTTGTTGTCAGTCTGAGACAACAGAGGAGAAAGAAAATGACAGGCAATTAGAAGAGCATGGGGTTCCCTCCTACACTTAACTATGTTGGATTGGCACAAGACCTGGGCCAATGATGGGGCACTAACCACCAGCAATGGGCTACCATGAAGTTCATTTCCCTAACGATGGGCCTTGCGAGAACACGGGAATTCTGCTATTACTTAGAGGTACCACATACTGACATTGAGTCAAGTCTCAGACACTTAAGAATACATGGGAACAGAGGTTACATTATTGACTGTGATCATATTATATGTACTTATGAACAAGGATCCCTCCTAATAGATAGATGTACTATGAAAAGAGATTTTTGAGTATTTTCAACTTTTCTCTGACTATGTGGAACTCTAGAAAACATCCCGTTTCTGATCAGATGAAGTTAGAGGAAGAGACTCACAGAATGGATTGTGCTTAGTGATAACTAGGAGATGTTTGGTTCACCATCCTTTTTTCTTTCTTTATTGAGTAGAAATTGTCTTCTACAATAATTTGAATACTTAATTTTATTGTCATGTTGCTGTTAAATCTTTCCAGAATTGAAACAATTTCATTGAATCAGAAGCTGAAACAAAACAAGGTTTTCTTTAGTTTCCATTTTGTTTAAAAATCTCAAGGTATTGAGATTGGGTTACCTCATGAAATATGCTTCCTGATTCAAATTCCCTTCTCCCAAGTTGAGGTGGCAAGGCAGGCTTTCTCTTCTCTAGTCCCCTTATCCTCCCTTTCATATGAATCAAGATTTGAAAAGCAGAGAGTTGACAAAACCTAAATAGCTCTTGGTTTCTAACTAAGCTGAATGCTACTTTGTCTTCTACTTCTAGCATGTACTGGGGCTTTGTTAAGAAAATGACTCAAGTGGATTGAGTCAAAGCAGACATGCGTAGACCTGTTTGTTTTCTTTGGTATCAGCCAATTATTTTCAGTTCTCAGGTTTCAGTTTATACACTTGCACTCCAGGCTGTTTGTATAGGCATTTCAATTCCAGTACTTTATAGTTTCAGCAGCAAATCTTCAATAAGGCCAGTAAGTATCAGTTTAATGTGGAAGGAGCTTAGCACTACTACTAGTTTATTTCAAACTTCATCTCATTGTCATTCATGTTCATAGTGGCTAAACATTTAAAATAAAATGTAACAATAAAAAAAGGAATTTAAATGTTTCAAATTGTGCCATTTAAAATACTTGGTCAAAGAGAATGTTTTCAACTGAAACTAATGCAAGATGATGGCTGTGACCAGATGATTGTAGCCCTGCTCCTTTTTTGGTGCATGAATGGATATAAAAAGAAGGGAAGTTTTCCTTGTTCTGTTGTGGCTGCCATCTTGAATTCTTTGACTTTACCTTCAGGCATTCCTGGTTTTAGCTCCTTTTCCTGAAAATGGAAAGAGACCTAAACACAATTCCCAGTGGATGTCACTTATAGGAATGACACAGGATGCAGCCTATGGAGAGTGCTTATTATGGATGTTGCCTTTGGGGATGAGGCTTTTAACACTAAATCTCACTGATCTATGGAGCTGAACACATTTACCTGATATATGTAATATTCCCATGTTTTCCTAACATCTCCTTCCTCGCTTTTTTAATGGAAAAATTGTTAAGGAGAAAAGACCAGAATAATTGGGTCGTGCTACTTTAGCTCTCCATTTGGAATCAGCATTTGTTTACCAATGCCTCCATAGGCGACTTAGCCTAGTCTGCCTCCCACTCCCAAATTCCTTGCAATCCTCTAAAGATAACCTTTGAGTCAGTGTTTCTGAAGTAGATTTCAGGCAGCAACTCATTATTTAAGACAGATCTCTGCTATATCCAGTCCAAGATTTTTTTTCCCCCTCTGACTGAGGTAGATCAGTAGCTGACAGGCTGCCTTACATCAGTTACAACTTTTAGCATAAGCTATAAATAGGCTTTTGGGGGAGGAAATGCTTTAGGGTGATTTTTTTTTTTTTTAAAAAAAAATCTAGTTATAATACAGCATCAAACCAAACTCTCCATACCTTATATACTACAAGTTGGAAGGTAAATTACATATTTTATAAATTAACCAATAAAACAAAATTGTTTTCCATGTCTGTAATTAATTTAGAGAAGTAATAATTTTCTACACCCTACATCCACATCTTGGAAGACTCAAGAATAACTTGAAAGGGAAGATCTACAAAGGCAGCCTCCTAAGACTATTTCCTGGTAAGAATGCAACCCTGTGCCTGATTTCAGTCTATGCTCTATCTTAATTTTCCGCCTCCTCTTATGGCAGCATGCATTGAAAGCGCCTGGAGTACCCCTGCTGGACTCTAATTGTTGGTGGCAATCGGCACAGGATTTCATCTGTTTCATCACAGCAGTCCTCTTTTTCTGCTCCTTTAATCTTTGACGGATGCAATGCTTGGGTACACTGATGGGGCTCGTACCACAGGCAGTGATTTTAGAGGCGTCTTTTGTCCACAGTCGAGGCATGGTGTCTGCACTGGGCTGGACAGTATTTCTGAATAGATCTCTTCCCAGAGTATTCAACAGAGAACTGACTGGAAGGGAAATGTATTCAGATATGCCAAATGCTTCTGGCAACCGCTAGCTGAAGCATCTGGGGGCATTCCTGAACTGTTTGAGATCTCATTTAAAGGAGTTGTTGGAGGGCATTTGTTTCAAACTCCCAAATGTATAAACAGCAGCCTGAGCTGGATTGTCTTCTCAGAAACCTGAGACTCATAATTCTGAGCAGAAGAACAAGGAGTTTCACAAAGCCATTAATGAGTCAAAGTACTTTCCCAAAAGATACTCCTCAAAACATTTGTGAGGAAGTAAGCCATGAAGCAGTAGGTAGGTTTATACAGCTTCCTCTTTCCCATGAAAGTGATTCTTGCTTAATGAGATGTGAAATTGACATTTGCTGCTCCTGTTGCTATTATTAGTGTTAATTTGATATACATAACATTTTTCTGTCCAAACCTACCATTACTAATGTAAAATTTGATAAAAGAAGTAAAAATCATCATAAATTACATTTTTTATCTTAAGCGGGGAGCTGAGCTTGTTCACAAGGAATGCATTCCCTAATAGCTCTCCCAGGTGCCTAACTAAGGGGCCCCCAAATGTGAGGGCTTCTCTAAGAGAGCCTCTCCTGATGACTTTAATGTTTCATATTGAGACATTAAGTAACCTATTGAGGTGGGCAATCCCCCGAAAAACAGGCAACAAGCCTTGAAAAGTTCAAACCGTCCCCTTAAACTATACTAAAAAGCAACTAGCACCCTTGGGCATAATAGAATTCCAGTATTGTGCAGTGGTAGCAAATGGGATGTTCCACTTTGCAACAGTTAAAATCTCCAGACATCTCCAGGATGGTCCAATAATACTGTAACATTCAGTCTGGTCTATTATTACACTATGTGTTATCAGCTAAGGGTCAGTTGCAGCTGGAACATTGGACAGAATTGTTTGTATGCACTCTTTCTACCTCTGCCATCCTGACTACAAAGATTGCAAGAGGTTTTGAATTAAGCAAATATTTTATTATAGTCCAAGAAAAAATCGGGGTAGGTCTGGACCAGCTGCAAGTTATTCTGCAGTTCCATATCTTCTAGTTTTTCTTTGATGACCTTTTGCTTTCTCAAATCACAAGATGTCCTACACTAAAAAAAAGATGGGGAGGGGGTCAAAAAAGTACTCCCAAATCCTGGACCTGCTGCTTCAGGTCAACTGCACAGAAAGGTTGAACCTTAAATGCAGAGAGGACAGTTTTCTACCAACCATAATACCTTAATCTTAACCGGGTTTAATTTCAACCTGCTCACTCTCATCATGTGAAACTTCATACTTTACTTCCCACTAGTCAATAGAATTTATTACTTGCTTGGAATTAGCTGGCAAATCATGGTAAAGTCATAGCCATGGATTGCAAGTTGTTTGACAATGATGGACTTTCTATTTGACCTGTCAAATGACCTCCCTTCCGTTGTTCTTTAGACTCCAGTGATGAGGTGGTTTAGGTATCTTTTAAATATTTTTCTTCGTTGTCTTTTGCTTTTCCTAGTATTTGGGATTTCATGAATATCTGTCCATCTATCCAACTTCTCTATCGTGTCAGTCCACAAAGACTGTACATAATTTAGTGATATTAAAATAGTAATGAAATAAAATTATGCATTAAAGCTTCAATAGCAAAAATATAAATGTTAATGTCCAATAAGAGAATACTGTGTGCAGAGCTCTGTATAGGTGCCTACGATTCCACAATAAGTTCCCAAAGATCTTCTGGAAAAGCTAAGTATTAAAATTTCTGGAAAGTCTTGAGCATGTGGCCCATTTGTTTTAAGAGCAAACTGTTCCAGAGATAGGCATCTCTGATTTTCGTCCTGTTTTTTCTCTTCTGCATTTTTAATGACTATAAACTGTTTTGGGATTTTTAAAAAGACAAGTGGTATAGAAATATTTTTAAATAAATAGTATCAGACTAACTAAACATGTGTACATCTGAAATATATGAACAATACCTGTTTGCTTCCATATACTAAGATAGCCCGGGCCAAATCTTGGAGTGTGTGAAGATCTACACATAATGTCTGGCTTTTGTTCTGACATCCTTGCTGCAACTTCCATTTCCATGGTTTGGCTACATCTTCCGAATAGAGAAAGAGTGTGCCTCTTCTTGTGCAATACGTTTTTGGGAGGTACAGCCTCCAGTACTCCTTCATGATCTGCCTATGATCCAGTAGTCTGTTGACACTGCAAAGGCCTTCAGAAGACATGCGGTTCAGGTCATCCTAATTTGAGTAAAAGGAGGAGGAACAGATGCAATAACAGAACGGATTTTAGAAACAAAAATTCAGTACAATTTTCTGCAGGATCTAATCTGGGTCGGTCACTGGGACCAGAGGTTTTTTCTTCCGAGCTTTTGGATTCGTGCTGGAGCCCATCCTCAGGGAACTTCTCTCTAGCAAGATGTGTGCTGTTCTGTATGTGGTATTTATATGGTGCCTGTTATATGTGTATTGATGGCTGGCTTTTAAGTTGTTGGCTGCCCAGCCCTCGCTCTGTAACTACTTGAAGTATTCAACTTATGTGGCTCGCAAAGGAAGAGAGATGTGGTGCAGTCCTGGGCAGGGAAGCTGGGCAAGTGATCCATTCATTGAAAACTATTGTGTGGCAGTTTCATGAGGATTCTGACCACCGACCCTCCCATATTTTGCTACTGACTGGAAAGGCGCTTTGTCAGAAATGGTATAACATCTCCTGCTTGAGCAGGGGGGTTGGACTAGATGACCTACAAGGCCCCTTCCAGCTCTGTTATTCTGTAAACTTTGCAGTTACTAAGATTGTTGAACGAGCAGGCACAAAAACAACCATGGAAGTGATTGAAGCCTGGGAAACAGGCCCCTTGTCAGTCAAACAGGAGTGCTGATTTACCACCAACCTTACCACACCGCCAATCAGCATCTAAAAAGCCACACACAAATACCACCATATAAATACCACACAAAGAACAGCACACACTCTGATCAAGAGAAAGTTCCATGAGGATGGGGGCTGTAGCACTAGTCCAAAAGCTCAGAAGACTAAACCTCTGGTCCCGGTGACCGAGCCGGATTGGATCCTGCAACATTATCCTGGGACCCGTCTATTCACCTTCATTCATAATACAATTCTCTATTTGCACATATTGTACAGGGCAGTCCTATTGTTTTTTTTTTGTTGTTGAAAAGTTTTATACAAATTTTTAATACAATACAATATCCCCCCTACCTCCCCCCCACCCTAACCCTCCCCCCCTTACTTCCCAGAGCTGATTACAGGGTTAAAAAAATAAACAAACAAATTCTAACTAAGCTTATCCAACTATACAAATAATAAAATCCCTAAAATACTTTAACTCAAATACAAACAAAAAAAAAATTTCAAGCAAAAGCATAATTAACAATATAAATAATTCCCATTTTAAACTTTAAGTTATTCAAAAACTAAATAATACTTTCTAATCCCATATTTATTCCGTACAAAATTTATCCATCTTCTCCACACCGAGATGTATCTTTCTTGTGAATGATCCTTCAAATAAGCAGAAATTTTAGCCATTTCTGCTAAATTAGAAACTTTAAGCAACCATTCTTCTATAGTAGGCAAAGAATCTTTCTTCCAATATTGTCCAACCAATAAACTTGCTGCCGTAATAAGATTCAACATTAAAATAGTTTCTTTAACATCACAATCTACAATAATACCTAACAAGAATAATTGTGGTGAAAACTTTATCATTCTATTAAAAATCTTCTGAATGTTCCACCAAATCTTAATCCAAAAGGCTTTTATGTTTTTACACGTCCACCAAATATGGTAATAAGTTGTATCCAAGCATCCACATCTCCAACACTTAGGCTGTAAATTAGGATACATGCGAGACAATTTCTGTGGATCCAAATGCCACCTATAAAACATTTTATAAAAATTTTCTCGTAGATTTTGAGCCTGAGTAAACTTTACATTCCCAACCCAAATTGCCTCCCATGTATCTAGTAAAATTGGCTCTTGAAAATTCTGAGCCCATTTTTTTTTACAACTGTTTTTATTGAAAATTTTTAAACTTTACAGAAAGAAAAAAAAAATTCCCTTCCCCAAACCCTCCCAACCCTCCCCTACCCTCCCACAACCTTCCCAGAGCTGAATACAGGCTTAATTAAAATTTTTTAAGAAAAATCTTAAGATACATATAAATCATAAACAAATCTAAATACCTTCATTAAACAAATTATAAAATAATTAACAAAAATATATATAAAAAGAAATACAAAAAAATAAATAAAAAATTAAAAAAATCTAAAGTTTTCATTCAATCTTCATAATATCATACTTATATTATATAATATAAAATCTATCCCTCTTTCTTTGTCATCAAACTCAAAAATACACATATAAACTATCTACCATAAACAATTAATTACAATAATTAAACAGTTTATAAAATACTTTAAAACCAATCATTAGACACCTTATAAAATACTCTGGACATTTTCTAATGTCATACTTATATTATTTAAAATTTATCCATCATTCTTTATAAACACCCTCAAAAACACACCTATAAACATTACTTATAACATTAAAATTCCCTTATACATATTTAAAACAAAATATTCCTTTAATAGTTATACCATTAAAACATCTGTCCTCTTTACCAATAACCAATTCCATCCACAATAAACTATAATCTATCAATAACCTGAAAGCATCATGTTTATATTATGTAAAATCTAGTCTCTCCCTCTTTCTTTATCATCAAACACAAAAATAAACATATAAAGGTTAATTATACCATTAAAAACATCTCTCCTCTTTACCAATAATCAATTCCTTTTATCAATCTCTCTTATCCCAAAACCTCGAGAGAAGTGCTTGAAAGTCTGCCCTTAAAGGTTGCTCCAAAAAGTTTATGGATCTTGCTTCTCCCGCAGACTCAGAAACAGATACTTGTGAGGCTTCCTTAAACTCCTTCTTCTGTTGCTCCTTTTCTTTACGTTTATGTGTTGCACGAGTTATCCTCTGCTCCTTCATCTCAACTTGTTGAGGCCCCTCACCCTGAGATTTCCCAATTTTCATCAATATAGGCTCTTCAGACTGCAATTCTACCTTCCTCTCTTCCAGAACGATAGATGGTGATGAACATACCCCCAGGACCGAAGTATAAAACTCTTTTGCTTTGAAGACAGTATTAAGTCTATAACGTGTCCCCAGATAATTCACCACCATTCCAGTCGGGATATCCCACCTGAACAACATTTGCCTCTTTTTAAGTTCATCTGCTAAAAAAGCAAACTCCTTTCTTCTTAGAATTTTAGATGGGATCTTCTTTAAGATTATAACACAGTGGTTCTCAACCTGTGGGTCGGGACCCCATTTGGGGTCGAATGACCATTTCACGGGGGTCACCAAACCATGCTGTCCGCCATTTTTTTCCCTTTTCCCTAGCTGTCCTACTCCCTCTTATTGGTGGCCACACCCACTTGGGGGTCACCACAACATGGGGAACTGTATCATGGGGTCACGGCATTAGAAAGGTTGAGAATCACTGTTATAACATCTTGTGAAGCAATCTGAAACCTCTTATTGTAAAAAGCTTGTATAATTTCATTGCGCAGGGATCTTTTCCCAAAATAGATCACCACATCTCTTGGCAGATTTCTTTGCTTTTCCACCACAGGGTTAACTCTAAATGTTTTTTCAATTGCACTAAATATTTCCTCTTTTTCTCTGTTCAGAATCACAGCAAAGTCATTTGCAACCATCTCCCTCAGATCTCCTTGCAAAGACTCCCTCAGGCCTCTGATTCTTAAGGCATATTCCATCTCTCTGTATTGAAGCATAAGAATCTCATCTTGAAAGTTTTCCATCTCCTTTTCCATATCTTCAAATTTTCCCTCCAGCAACTCCACTTTCTCTACTGAAAATTCTGAGCCCATTTTATCATACAATCTTTAACTAATTCAGTCTCTGAGTCCAATTCCACTAAAACATTATAAACTCTCTTTATATGAGCTCGATTTTGATCTCTAATTTGTTTTATCAAATTCTGATCTTCCAAAATAAAACCAACCTTTTGGTCTAAACTCCATCTATCTAATAATTGCCTATACTGAAACCAAGAGTAAACAATATTTTCTTGCCTTAATTCATCTAGCGATTTTAATTGCCAATCCTTCCCTTCCAATTTAAGCAACTGATTATAAGAAATCCTATCCAACTTCACACCTCTTGATATCCCCTCTACTGTGTGTCCAGGAATCCCCCAAACTGGTATTTTATAATTTAATCTATAATAATATTTCTTCCAGACACGCAGTAGAGCAATTCTTAAAATATGGGACTTAAAAGCCCTATCTACTTTCTTATTATAAATTAAGTAAGCATGCTATCCATATAATAAATCCCATCCCTCCAAAGAAAGTATATTTTGATTTGTTAAATTAATCCAATCACTAATCAATGTTAAAGCTGCAGCATCATAATACAATTTCAAATTAGGCATCTTAAGTCCTCCCCTTTCACGAGGGCAGTCCTATTGTTGACAGCCAATTTGGTACATAAGGTTACAAACTGGGGGAGGATGGGTTCCAGCCCTTCATTAGGACAAAGCAGTCAACTTGGGTCAGTCAACTTCTCTCAGCCCTAGGAAGGAGGCAATGGCAAATCTCTTCTGAAATCTTGCCAAGAAAACTGCAGGGATTTACCCTGAAAGTGATCAGGAGTCAAGACTGGCTCAAAGGCATGTGTGTGAGTGGGTAGGTGTATATGCGTGCACACCCACGCACACCCAGGGAATTGTTAACAGCTGCCATTTGAAGAGGATGTATCAATCACATTAATAAAATGTGAGGTGGCACAGCAGATGTTTTCATGAATTTTCCAGTTATGCCACCAGCATATTTGACAAAACTTCTTTCTCTTCTTATTTTGAAACATTTCATTTTATATGAATCTCCTCCCTCCTCCCAAATGAGCAGAGCAGAATAGACAAGTAAGGGGGTGGGGGGCACGGGGAACTCTTCAGTAAAGCAATGTCATAAAAAGAGTAGACAATCAAACGTATTCCCAGAAGCAGAGATTGGCTACCTAATGCTCTCTAGAAGTTTTTACTTCTAGCTAAGGTGAAAGATTGCCATAAACCAAATATCTGGACAATATGAACCCACCAATCCCTGCTTTAGTTTTAGATTACTCACTACAGAAATAATCTAATCAGATGGGTAATGAAGGAATATGAAGCTTATATACG